TTGACCATGAAAACTAATTTTAAAAAATTCCTGAGCTGTAGGCATGCAGTATTTCATGATCTGTGATCACTTCTTTTCCAATTCATTTCTATGGGAGCCAGGGCTTTTTGGAGCCAGGACTAGCGGACGTAGTGATATTGCAGGTTTTTGACACTTCCGGGTTGGCTTCATTTTTCAGGGCCGGTTGCTACGTCCATCTTTTATACAGTCTATGCTAAAGCCTCACCTACGAAACAGAAACACACCCCAAGTCTCTGAGTCTGTAACTGTGGAAAATAGGATTGGACGAGTGATTGACAGAGTGGAGCCCAGAGGAGGAGGAGGAGGAGTCAGTTAGGGGGGCGGGACTTATCCTGACAAGACATCACAACAGGCTGCAAAAGGCTCATTCAAAGAGACGCTTTCTTTACTGTGGACCAAGAAAATAAACCTGGGGATGCTGTTCTCTTATATCCGTGGACCTGTAGACACATTAGGAACACATCCTGTTGTTCAAAAGAAACGAAAACCTGTTTTTTGCATGAAGAAACAAAAATAGCATCATGCATCCATAGGGAGCTTTATTGTTTCTCATTTAGACCCTTCATTTAGATTTTCTTCTTTAAATCTCTTAAAACACAGCAACACATTCGAGGCAGCCTAAACACATCCTGCAAATTCTAGTTCAGTAGAGTCAAATATAATAAGATGCAGAAAACAAATAAAGAGAGGAAAAGTCATTTCAAAGAGTGACTCTGACTAAAGAACTACACATTAAAAACAACAATTAGGAAATATGATTATTAGCTGCTGATACCAGTAATGAGATTGTTTTGCAATTAATGGACTAAAACTTTAGAAACAATTTATGAGAAAATAATCAAATCATTGTATTTTCCAGTTTATCAGACAGTAAATGTTTTTATTTCCTTTGAAAACAGCAGAAAGAAAAATCTGCTTATAGAATAAAGAACGAATGTCTGGATTCATGTCGATTCAAACTTTGAGAGATCTGCATCCCAGGCAGCTGGTTCTAGTTTCTGGTACTAAAGGTATTCAAGACCTTCCAGTTATTTTCAGTTGTATTTTCAGCGACCATAAATGGAATTTCAAGCTTGTTAGAAACACATTCACAGGATGAGCCGTCAGCTGAATAAAACACGGAAAGCATGAATTCAGGCATTCACATCCATGCTGAGCACATCCCAGTCAAAAAAGCCGCCGTCAGAGGGTTTGTTCGGGGCGGGGGACGCTGCCTGCGGGGCTCCTGTGGTTCCAGGAGGGGTGTGGAGGGTGTTTGGAGAGACGAGTTGCCCGTGAGAGGGGCTGGGTGGGTCGCACATTGCTTTAGGCGCTGCCACGCCGTTGGGCAGAAGGCTCGCCTCGCTATGAGTCTGAGCTTGGCCTCCTGCAGGGGCGACGCCCGGTGGGGCCCACCCTGACATGCTGCCGGGCCAGGGACGGGCCCACTGGCTACCCAGAGGCCCCTGCTGCGCCCAGGGCATAGTGGTGGGAGAGTATGGGGGGGTGGAGTATGGAGAGCCCCCTGCTGGCTGGGTGGGGAACATGGAGAGAATCTGAGAGGTGGAGAGCATCGGCTGTGGAGGCTCTGAGAGGGAAGACGAATGAAATAAAGTGAGTCTTTACATCTGAAACTAAAAGAAAAAAGATTTAAGCACCTTGTTCCTTAAAAAACTGCATTCTCAATTATGTTTTCAAAGAAACAGGATTTTTTTTATTTTTTTAAATAAACTTTGAAAGAGCCACAAAGTTCACATTTGGAGGTGACAGCTAGACTGTGAGAAGAATGAGCTTCCTGTCCATTGTTCTTAGACTTCAGTTTCCTTTTCACTTGCTGTTTACTTTTAGTTCTCACCTGCACTTTGGTCAGGTTTAGGCACCACATCAAAATGCTTAAACCATGTGTTCGTTGACAGTCTTACATTGGTAACCACTATCAGAAGCTTGGTTAAGTTTGGCACATGGTTAGGTTTAAGAAAATATGGTTTCATTTAAAATCTGACACTTTCACACGTTTGGTTCTTCTCCTCTACTTTCTGGGCAACCAAGGTGACAAGTCCTGTCCCATCCATTATATGATATGTTTTTTATTTTGTTTTTTTAAAATCATTTTTATCTTTTATTTTATTTATTTTTTAAATTATCTTTTACATTTTTTATTTTTTATTTTTTAAATTATTTTTAAAGTTTTTAAAAATTGCTTTTTTATTTTAATTTTTTTAATGTCACTTTAAAAGCAAAGACACAACGACATTCCTTCTGCGCACATTTTTCTGCGCATATTTCCTTTGCTTTTTAAATGTTGCTGAAAAGAAGAAAAAAAATGATTAAATAAATAAAAAAATAAAAAAAAAAAAGAATAATAATAAATAAATTATTATAACTTTTATTATGTTATTTATTTGTCTCTTATATTTCTACCTTTATTAGCCTTTTCTTTTATGGATTAATTTTTAATTAATATTGCCTTATATCGGCACATTAGTATTTTTTTTATTTTATTTATTCTTCTTTTTCTTTTCACTTTTATTTTATTATTCTTTGATTGATTTACTTTAGTAATTTGGCACTCTCACTACTCCATATGTATGCGCCATGAATCAGTCGCAGAGCAAAACTGTGATTTGTGGGTTTTGTTTTGGGGGAATGTTTGCACGCAGGAAGCTGAACACTGTCATTAAAATGTAGAATTTAATGAAAGAAGCAAGCAGTGCTGCCTCAATGCACAATCCGAATATTTTGCAAAACTTTCCATTTTCAACACGTAGTTTTCTGCTCGGAGATCGTTGTTGACTGAATTTTGAAAACAGTTAAACACAGATGGCAGAAGGAGGAAAAAAACAAACATTTCTTCACATTCTACCACTCAGATTAGTTTTCTGTTAACTTCAAAATGACCACAAAA